AAAGAATATGAAGAAATGAGAAACGAAAATAAGAAGACAGAGAGTGAGATTGACCTTGAAGAGCGAACGTCGGAAACTCGGACTGCCGGTGGGTAGAGAGCGCCGGAAGATAGGTGTTGATCGGGAGTGAGATTGAGAGACTGAGTGAGAGCCTGAGAGGTGACTTAATGAACGGCGGATTTGAGTCTGAGGGCACGGAGAACGGCGGATTTGAGTCTGAGAAGTGAGAAGTGAGAGCACAGACTTAAGAACGGCGGAGAGGCTGAGAGCAGAGACTGAAAACTGAAATTAGGTTTTAGTGAGAGCACAGACTTTACAAAAATCGTGAAAAGAAATCGTGTAGCAAAAATCGTGTTATAAAAATCGTATGATGCCAGCCTGTATGTAATGTAATAAAAGTAACATATTTTCGGTGCGGTTCGGTTAAAACCGCACCCATCGGACGGGAAACCGAACCGCACCGAATTTTTTTCGGTTTTCTGAAAATGTAACCGAACCGTAACCGAACTTTAAAAAAACCGCACCGAACCGCACCGAACACACCGGTTCGGTGCGGTTTTTCGGTTTCGGCTCGGTTTTGCTCACCCCTAGCTATAAGGTGAAGAGTACGTATGTACTAGTTTGGAAGCTTATAAAATAAAACACGCAATTTGAGGCCGTTCAAAAATAAGAATTGTTTACGCTTTTAAGTTCAACACATCATTATAAGTAAAACTAGGGGCCCACCACAGGTTATTCGAATTGCTTTGGTTTTGATTAAGAGATATATAATTGGTAAAACTAGTTGATAAATTAATTTATAGTTGATAGCTTACGATTTATGGCTCAAAAGCTAGCTTATATGATAAAAGTGTTAGGTAAAATTAATTGATAAGCTAACTGATAGTTTGTTTAATAGCTTTTATGATAAAAGTATTGAGTAAAATTAACTAATAAACTAACTGATAGTTTATGACTTATGGCTCAAAAATTAACTTATATGATAAAAGTGTGGGGTAAAATTAGCTGATAAGCTAACTGATAGTTTATGACTTATTGCTCAAAAGTTGGCTTATATAAGAAAAGTGTTTGATAAAATTAGCTTATAAGCTAGCTGCAATAAAAATTTCAATTGGCTTATTTAAAAAACTAATCAAGAAAGTTCATGAGATAAGCTCGAGTTTTTTAAAGAAAGCTTGTTCTACCAAATCAAACTTACTTAAATATAAATAGCTTATAAGCTAATCAAGTAAGCTTCGAGCTAGTTTATATGCTTACCAATCACAACTTATAAGTTACCGTGCTTTAACCTTTTTTTGTGTGTGTTTTAAGTCAAATATGTTAATAATCTTATTTCATTAATAACTCCAGAAACCCAAATACACCTTGCCAAATAAGTGAAAATAGAAATCAATAAGAAGAGCCGGGTGCCATGCATGCATGATGCATGCACTCTACTCCCCCTTTTAGCTCATGGTGGACGTTACTATACGCCCTAATAAGTAATAACAATATTACAACATCAAAAGCAAACATATATATGTATATATTATGATGATAAACTAATGTCCACCACCAAAACCACCACCACTTCCGGCGCCTCCACCAAAGCCTCCACCACCACCTTTGCCACCTCCAAACCCGGCCCTCCGCGGGCCCCACCACCGCCTCCTGCACCACCCCCAAAACCTCCTCCTTTGCCACCGCCAAACCCACCACCAACACCTCCACCGTGGCCACCGCCTAATCCTCCACCACTACCACCACCGAACCCGCCACCAGCACCTCCACCGTGGCCGCCACCTAATCCTCCGCCAAACCCTCCGCCATGGCCACCTCCAAACCCACCACCGGATCCTCCACCAGCACCACCACCTAAACCACCGCCGCCGCCAGCTCCACCACCAAAACCTCCACCGGCACCACCTCCTAAACCACCGCCGCCGCCAGCTCCGCCACCAAAACCTCCACCGGAACCACCACCCAAACCACCGCCGCCGCCAGCTCCACCTCCAAAACCTCCTCCGGCTCCATCTCCAACGCCTCCACCGGCTCCTCCACCACCACCCAAACCACCGCCGCCCCCAGCTCCACCTCCGAATCCACCACCGGAGAGAGTACATTATAAATTTTGGTGTTTAATAAAGTAGATTCTTGATAGAGAGAGTATTGTTAATAAATTAACTGACATGTATAAGATTTTCTGTCAATGTTTGTCTCAACAAAGAGGGGTGGCTTAGATTCTTGTGTTTGGGTTAAGGGTCAGTAATTTATATGATATATATATAATTTATTATGTTAAGAAATCATTTGTATTTCAATTATGTATGTGTACTGGTGCAGACTACTAGTATTATTATTATTATTATTATTAGCTAGTATTAGTATTCTTATTATTATAGCAATTAATATTATTTAATATTATTTAAAGAGATTTTATACTTTGTTATTAGACAGTGAATTTTGAATACGAAATAAGATATTGTGAGTTTTACGTGTTTTACGAGAAAGTATCTCGTTTACTCGTTTTATCCTTTCTCATTTGTACGCTATTCCCTACATCATGTACCAATATGAAAACATGAATCTTGTCACAACCGAGTGGGACCATGCTGACTTGGTCTAGTTTGGAAGAGGCTTAATCTAGCAGTAGCAAAGAAGCAAGCACCTATCTTATATGTCATAATATAGCCATAATAATTTTTATTATGTATATATTATGTCATAATATAGCCATAAAAATTGAATATCCTCCCTACATATAATTCCAGAACGTGCTGAGCCTACGTGGCTGCTTCTGGTGCTTTGGAATCCTATGTGGCAAAATTACATGATTCGTTATTAGACTTGGATAAATTTTAATTTAATTCCAAATTAAAAATAATTAGGTTCGAATTACCATAAATATGTTGATTATTTATGTCATGTTACATGCATTAATTGCATTTTAATATCATTCTTTATTATAACTATTGAATTGTATATGTATTTTAAAAGTTAATAACTTTTGTATTTTTTATCAGTTTTACATATGTAATATATCAAATTAATCTTCTTTTGATGAGCTTCGATTTAACATCCATATTGTATGTATAAAAAAAATAATTTATATTTATCTTTATAACAATAATAAAATTATTTTTAGTATTAATTAGAAAAATAAAATTATTTATCAACTAATATATTTATATTTCAAGTAGTTATATGATATAAGTTATAAAAACTGATATAATATAACACATATAAGTCATAAGTAACACATATCATTCTAAAATATATAGTAATATATTTTTTTTTTTAAAAAAAAGTAAACTAAATTTAATATAGTTTTCTCATTAATTTAAAATTCGAGAATAATTTTTTAACAAGTACAGTAGATAATTTCGTTACACAAAATAATTATGCGATCACTACCAATAATTTGATGTTTCTCAAAGTACAAATCCTCCCTATATATAATTGCAGAACGCGCTGAGCCTACGTGGCTGCTTCTGGTGCTTTGGAATCCTATGTTGCAAAATTACATGCTTCGTTATTAGGCTTGAATAAATTTTAATTTAATTCCAAACCAAAAATAATTAGGTTCGGATTTACCATAAATATGTTAATTATTTATGGTCATGTTACATGCATTAATTGCATTTTAATATCATTCCTTATTATAACTATTAAATTGTATATGTATTTTAAAAGTTAATAACTTTTGTATTTTTTATCAGTTTTATATATGTAATATATCAAATTAATCTTCTTTTGATGAGCTTCGATTTAACATCCATATTGTATGTATAAAAAAAATAATTTATATTTATCTTTATAACAATAATAAAATTATTTTTAGTATTAATTAGAAAAATAAAATTATTTATCAACTAATATATTTATATTTCAAGTAGTTATATGATATAAGTTATAAAAACTAATATAATATAACACATCCTCCCTATATATATATTTCCAGAACGCGCTGAGCCTACGTGGCTGCTTCTGGTGCATTGGAATCCTATGTGGCAAAATTACATGCTTCGTTATTAGGCTTGAATAAATTTTAATTTAATTCCAAACCAAAAATAATTAGGTTCGGATTACCATAAATATGTTGATTATTTATGGTCATGTTACATGCATTAATTGCATTTTAATATCATTCCTTATTATAACTATTGAATTGTATATGTATTTTAAAAGTTAATAACTTTTGTATTTTTTATCAGTTTTATTTATGTAATGTATCAAATTAATCTTCTTTTGACGAGCTTCGATTTAACATCCATATTGTATGTATAAAAAAAATAATTTATATTTGTCTTTATAACATAATAAAATTATTTTTAGTATTAATTAGAAAAATAAAATTAGTTATCAACTAATATATTTATATTTCAAGTAGTTATATGATATAAGTTATAAAAACTAATATAATATAACACATATAAGTCATAAGTAACACATATCATTTTAAAATATATAGTAATATATTTTTTTTTAAAAAAAAAAGTAAACTAAATTTAGTATAGTTTTCTCATTAATTTAAAATTTAAGAATAATTTTTTAACAAGTACCCGTGTAATACACGGGGTATTGTACTAGTATGTATACAAAACAAAATAAAGGAGAATACTACCATCCCATTAGGGGATGGTTCCGTTGTGTTTTCTAGCCATAGATATATGTGTAATTTAGTGATGGGTAGTTAATCCAACGCTTAAAAACACAACGGAATCATCCCGTAATGGGATGGTAGCATTCTTCCAAAATAAAAATGTATATATTTAAATCAAACTTACGTAATTTCATATACACAATGATTTCATGAACTTAACACATCACTCCAAACAACACAAAATCACTAAAAAAATATATAAAAGGAAGAAAGAAAGCGTGATTAACTCCTTAACCCACCGCACTTTAAAAAACAAAAATTACGTTAGAAATGCCGCCCAAATCCTCACACCAGTCAACCTCCACCACGAGCCTCCCGTCCTCCTCCGACCAATCGAACGCCGCCACCTGTCCATTCACGCACGCCTTCTTAGGCGCCTCGCTCGAGTACGCCAAGAACTTCCCGCCTTCTTTGACCTCAATCTTGACCAACGACTCGTCGCACACGAGACCCTCAACGGTTCCTCCGCAATTCAAAAAGTCGGTTATCCCAACCGGCGCAAACTTCACACCATCAAAGCCGACCTTCATAACTGGCACAAAGCTAAAGATCTCGAAAGCCAAGGGCATAATGGTAACTGACACGGGATCCGAGTCCCTCGTTGCCATAAATAGCTTCTCTGCCTCCGTTAGATAAACCGCGTATTCATCCGCCTCTCCCATTTTGTCCATTTCGCCCTTTTGCTCCCACTCGATATTGCTGACGTGGACCGACACATAAAGTGGCTTGTAGCATTGAGAATAGCCTTTAATCCTTCGCTCTATCGGGTCCCACCCGGCGCCTTGGCAGTTGAATGCCCCAACCACACCTCCGTACTATTACATAAATTAACTCGAACAATTTAGATTACACGATCAAATAACCAATGAGAAAATGCTAACACCTGTCTTCTGTGTAAAACTCCAATAAAAAAACTGTCACATCACTTTTGTTTGACTACATCTAACGGTTCATATGAAAACTAAAAATGTAATGACTGAATTGAAAATCATTCACTCCCCCAAAGATTGTAGCCTTTCCTTAACCAATGTACTTCATCAAAATATAGGTAATTGATTTAAATCAAATTACCTTGTTCAAATTCCATATCTTGAGAACTGTGGTGCTGTCAAAGAGGGGGTTCTTAAAGAGGCAGTCACGGGTGGGAAGAGCAAAGTGAATGCATTCGGGATTGTGCTGTCTTGAAAAACGAGCTTCCTCAGAAGGTCGAAATCATGTCCACCCAAAGAATCACTCACGTAAATGGGCCCGCCACAGATGGCCCTTGAGCCCGCGTGAAACTTGGCACATTTATGGTCCGACTGGAACATGTCCCAATCGGGCCAGATAAATTGGCCCATCCACAGGCTGTTGTAGGCACAGTGGATCATGTGAACCCCTTGCAGCCAGTAGACTCCTATTGGGTCACCATTTGGGTCTTGGAACCAAAAATCATCACATGTTTATTCAAAACAGAGAAAGTTTATATAAAAACTATAGACTAAAACAAACATTAATATGAGGGCAAAGCTTTTTATTTTCCTGTTTTTGTTCTAACCAACTCTTTCCATAGATATCTGCTCGGTTCCGAGGAAAAAGAAGTCGTTGCAGTGTTGCATGCTGGAAATAAGCCCGGTTCCGTTGAAATTCTTGGAAAGAGATTTCGACAGCCACTTGTAATAAGCCTTGGCGAGCTCGACCCTTCCTCCATAATCTTTGGACATGTATTCTAGTACCTTCATCATATAACATGCACAAGTATTTGTACAAGTACAAAGAGTAGTACGACAAGTTTGTTACAAATTTACAAAATCCGAAAAAACAATTTACATTGATAACATCGGCCTTCACCCCCGTGATCCCGACCTCATAAAGGTTCGAGTACATGGAGTCGTAAAAATCCTCTGCTCGAGCGGGGTCCACGAGCCCTCGACCAACATAACAACCGCAAGGTCCTTCATGGTCCCTTTAAGCCCCGGGGACAATTTGCACGACTCGATTTTCGACTCGAGACGAGTCGCACCCGGGCGGACCCCACCCCAAGCTCCTGCAAGCGCGTGCCAAACGTAAATATCGTCCAAACCTTCGAAATTCTCCCTTAGATCCCTCGTTAACGCCTTCATTCCCGAATCCTCCGCCTTCTTGTCGGCTCCAGACACCCGGTCGGCCATCCGTTCCAATTCGCCTTTCAATTTCTCGACCTGACCCGCCTCGTCGTGCGTTTTCTCGGCCATCTCGACCTCGATCGCCTTCGAGATAAGCACCTTCGGCTTCTTGGTGTTGACCGCAGGTCGGCCGGCGAGCCCCACGAGCGACCCGAGTTTGTACTTCTGGAACTTTCCGCACTCGTCCAGCCTGTCGAGTCTGGCTATCACCTGTAGGGTGATTAACGAACCAAACGTAAGCGAACAAATATTTAGTCGAGCTCGGTCGTGTTCGACAAGAGCTCATTCGTTTGTTAATTGAACCGAGTTCAAACAGAAAATTAGGCTCGTTTAGTATTGAACGAATACGAGCTCGTTAGCGAACGTTCAGAAAATAAACAATTTTTTGCTCAAAAAATGAACAACAAACACAAATAGTGTTCGAACGCAAATGAACACGAGCTCGCAATACCCAAGCTCTGCTCATTAAGTTCAGTTACAGTACTAGTCACCTGAGCTA